ATCAACTAACTTTGGAGGGAATTTTCTTAAGGCCACAGGCTAAACTGAACACTTTTAGAAGAAAGCTTCTAGGAGTATGTGTTATGTACTGGCAGCATAAGGCCCCGAGGGGGAAAACTTCAGGAAGTGGAATTTCAATTCAACAGTGAGGAGGAGCTTTTAAATCATCAGAGCTTTTTAATAATGGAATAGCTGCCTCCAGAGTGGTGAGCTTCCCATTACTGGGAACAGTCAAAGACAACTGAATACAAAGGCAGAATGAAAATGCTTTACAGTCAGTCAAAATTTTTACTGATTCAGCTATCATTCACCCTGAGAGTTGTGAAAATCAGAAATAGGGCAGGGACATGCTTAGCACAGAGCTCAGTCTAGAGTAACTCAAATGGCACTTTTGTTAGTTTTATTATTATAAACACCTAGCAGGCAAGTTTTTAGTGACCCTGAGGCTGAAAGGGACGTGAGCACTAACATCCCTTTGAACTCTATGATCTTATCACAAAGTTTCTCTTAAAATGGCTTGATATATGGAAGAAAAACTCAAGGGCTCAAACTTACTGGGTATTTAATTTTAATAATTAAGGGCCATTATCAACTTGGGGCTAGTTTCCCACCAGGTGTATTTTTCTCTCCACTTTACCTACACTCGTGTTATCTTGCCCTTTTCCCCTCCATTTAAGATTAAACTTGCCCTCCTGCCCTCAATATTAACAATCACAAAGCTCTGAAATGGGTGGTGTGATGAAAAAGACTCTTAAATTGGGAGATGGGAGACCTGGGTTTGGTCTCTGGTTCTGCCCTTTTAACCCCCTATGTTCCCTTAGGCAACTCTCCTATTTGTTTTGGTTTAATGTCTACTCATAGACATTACTTCATTTGGTTTTCACAACCTTGTGTAAGGTGTCAGTACTACTGCCCTTAACTAATAAATGAGGAAATGTATGGCCCAAGAAGTGGAGTGACTTTCCTAGGGTTCCACAGATAGTAGCAGGATCAACATCTTGCCCTGCCCCCACCCTCCCAAAACAAAACCTCTACCTCTAGGTCTTACTTAGAGACCTGACATTCTGGGTAAAACATGGTGAATGCATTTTCCTCTCCTCCACCAGAACCTGGCCTAGTCAAGAGCAAAAGCAAGACCTTTGTTTTGGGGGAGGAGGCTTCATCTTCCTCTCTTATCGAGCATAATCAGCAGTTAAAAAGTACAGAGGCTTTCACAGACACAGAATAGCTTTTCAATATTCAAGAAGCTGGTAACACTGGTTGTCTCCAGAGAAAACTGAAGAGCTGAGGAACAGGAGTAAGGGGTCCCTTTTTTTTTTGAATTGAAAACTACGTGAATATACTATCCATTTAAAAGCTTTGAAAGAGTTCAAATAGAATAAAAATAAGGGCTCTGCAACTCCACTTACTGTTGGGTGACCCTAGGGCAAATCACGTCACCTGTTGCAAAAGCCCAGTTGCCTCACTGGTCAAACTGAGTTGTAGCCACTTGTAACCATGAACAACACTGCCTACAAGGGTGTTTGTGTGTAGGATAATGTATGTGAAGCGTTTAGCACCGTACCTGACAAACTGGTAAGCCTACAAGAAATGCCAGTAACCATTATTATTGGCATGAATACTGTTACCTTTATTTCAAGCAGCACCCCACATACACACCTGTTTCCATGGCATACCCACAACTATGGCGCAGTCCCTCACGTTAGTACAGCGCTTGCACTTCATACACCTCTCGACACTTCATCTTTCAACCTCAGGGCAGCCCTGGAACGTCACTGCTAACGCATTTCGCAGCTAAGGAAACCGAGGCAGTAACTCCGAGGCTCAATTTTCCCAAGTCTAACATCAACTCCAGAGCCCTTCCACCCGTCCGTCGCTCCCAGGTCCCCGGCTCCGGGAGCGTGTTCCGCGCGGCACTGACCTGAGCGAGCGCCCCAGGGCCCGGGACCTCGCGCGGGGCCCACACCGACCAGGCGCGCTCGGGCCGCCAGAGCCTCGCAGCGGCCGGGTCCGCTCCACAGCCATGGCGCCTGCAGGGAAAAGAAAACAAGGGCCGGAGGTGCGGCGGGTCAGCAGGAGCGCGGGCGGCTGCGAACCCCCTCCCCAACAGGCCCCGCCTCATATACAGAACAGACCTGGACCCGCGGCCGCCGCTCTCCGTCCGCAACCTAACCCAGGAGCGGCTTCCGGTGCTGCTTGCGTCATCTCCGCGCGTCCCTCCGCCCGCGGCGCCCTACGGACGCGGCTGCACTTCCGGCCCCCGCCTCAAGGGGGAAGCAGCAGGCTGAGGAGAGCGGCGAGGGAGGCGGAGCATGCGCAGTGCGGCTCTCTCGACAGTTGTGGAGCCCGGACCTAAGCTTATTTCCAGAATATCGGAACACAGCCAGCGCATTTATGTTCCAATCTGATCTTGCTCCAACTCTGCGGCACTTTTTCTGTTATCCTCACTTCATGGAGGAGAGGGAGGAGAAGTTAAGTGACGTGTCCAAAGTCAAACAACCTACTAAGCACCTATTGTGTCCCAAACACTGCCAAGAAGATAGGGTTAGTGAATAAAAAGCACAAAAATCCTGGCCTTCTGGGGCTTATCTCCTAGTGGAAGGGACAGATAAATAAGACATGACGCAAACTTTAGCAAGTGCTAAGGCGAAAAATTAAGGTTGGTGAGGGAAAGAAGAGAGATTATTATACTTGAACCTCAACTCTTAAACACTCAGGCTGGTTACTTAACCTCTGGCTTTATTTTCCTCATCTGATCGTTCTGAGAACTAAGGAGATAAAACAATCTTTAGTGTCAAGCTACTTTTTAAGTTATAGCACTCAATTCCCACCACCACAATCCTACATGCTAGTTACTATTATCAGCTCCATTTGTAGAGATGGAGAAACCCAGATCAAAAGAATATTTCAACATAGGCCTTCAGAGCATAAGTATCCTTATCTCTCCGTAAGGCTCATAAATTTTACACACATGTGTGCACACACACACAAACACATACATTTACACATCTTATACCAGCAGTGTCCAATAGGACTTTCAGCAATGGTATTCTCTATCTGTGCTGTCCAATAGGACAGCTAGTAACCTCTGGTGGCTCTCAAACACTTGAAAATTACCTAATGTGACTAAGGAAATAAAATCTTAGTTGTATTTAATTTTAATTAATTGAAGTTTTGACCCTGGCTGGTAGCTCAATTGGTTAGAGCACCATCCCAATATGCATGGTCTCTGATCAGCACACATATAAGAATCAACCAATGAATGCATAAATAAGTGGAACAACAAATCTTTCTCTCTCTCTCTGCTTTCTCTCTCTCTCTCTCTCTCAAAAGCAACAAAAATAATTAAATGGTTGGTGTGGGCCCTGCGTGAGGCCTGGGCCCTGGGGCACTGGCATGTGGCTTATGGCTACTATACTGAACAGCTCAGTTGAGTGATATAGGCATAACACATAATATAGATGTAAGATAGTCACATATATAGTTAGTGGTAGAGCAGGGCTCCAAATAGCCTGAGTCCATCTACAGTACTTGAAACATGGGAAATAAAAAATGACTGTGTGAGTAGGGGGGGGGGTGATGGGGGGACATGAGTTCACAGATCAGATAACCTCCGTGAAAGGGAAGGCAGTCCTAACTAAGGTAATCAAGAAAACCAAACACCTCTATATGTTTCCAGCAGTCTCAATCCAAATATGGTAGGAGTTTGATGACTCACACTGGAAATTCCAGATGGAGCTGCTCCAGAGGCAATATATTGTTTGAAGCTCTTATGGACAAAGAAACCAAATTCTCTAAGTTTAAGCTCAGAGGAGACCCAGGAGCAAAATATATGGCTCTATAAAAAATAAAAATTGCAAAATAGGATGTTTTTAATTAAATATCTCTAAGACCTATTTAATTGTTAGATTTAGTATATGTAAAAAAATCCCTTTCATTTGAATGGTTTTCAAGGTTAGGTTTTCCAACTTTTAAAAAGTTCCAATGTTAAGCAATGATTGTTGAGAAAACCTAGACAACTTTAAATGTAATGAGCTATTCCTGGTCAAGTAATTACAAAAACTGACGTGAATAGCCAGTAAGAGGATCAACATGTGAAAAGAAGAAAGAGAAAAAAATAGCCTGGTCAGATAACAGAGCGCAAAGCACAACTGCTTCTGTGACAGAAACATGAAAATATGCTGGATGTTGTTCTTTCCTGAAAATAAACTTACTGGTGGAAACAATGTTTGAGATACTTCCTACATATATATTCTCTAGGAAAATAGCTAATGCTAAATATCAAATGCTCAGTCTCTTCAATTCAGGCTAAAATAGACTACATGTTATTTTCCATTCTGGGATAGTTACCTGGGAGAGGTAGTTGGATAACACATGATTTAGTAAAGCTCTTCCATAGCCTACACTAGGAATTCAAAATCCTTCCCAATGAAACATATCCCAAACCTCACCATTTGTTTATATGGGGAGAAAAAATTGCACCCACTGGTATGACACCTATTCCTGGATGTTTAGTACCTTTCTTGCATGTGCATGTGTGGAGGGCATGAATTACTTCAACTGTTCAGTTGTGTGAGATGCACTCCAAAAACACTATGTGACATTTCTCCTTGTGTGATGATGCTGTGGAGAGGGGGTGTGGGTGAACTGTTCTTTCAACTCCCAGGCATACTTCATCAGAAACTGGCATAAAGACAAAGTGTCAGTTTCAAGAGGTACAGAAGAGTGGAAGCATTTAAAGAGGTTTGCTTTTTTTTTTTTTTAACTCTTTGTTCTGGATTCACTCTAGCTGTAACATGATCAGCACTTGCTCTCCTATACAGCCAGCAGGTATTCTGGGACAAAAGCTCAGGTTGATTGGCTAGAAACCTTATCCTTAAAGTCTGAGGCACCTAGTACTTCAATTGCTGTTAGACTGCCTTGATCCTGAGACACATTTGGGCATAATTTGGCATCTGGACTCAGTAATTTTCAAAGCCCTGAAATTGCTCACAGACAACATGCAGGTAAGTTTCTTATAATCTCTGAAGCATTTGCTATCTATTACAATAGCCTTTGAGGTGGCTGGGGTTTCTTCTATGTACAAATAATCAGCACTGAGAAAATGGAAAGGAATTCAGATTCTAATATCAGGACTTTGGTTTGGTTGTTTTTTCCTGTTCAACAGACATGGAAAAGTAAAAGATAGGAGTCAGGATTCTCTAGTGCAGTGGTTCTCAACCTTCCTAATGCAGCAACCCTTTAATACAGTTCCTCATGTTGTGGTGACCCCCAACCATAAAATTATTTTCGTTGCTACTTCATAACTGTAATTGTGCTACTGTTATGAATCGTAATGTAAATATCTGATATGCAGGATGTATTTTCATTGTTACAAGTTGAACATAATTAAAGCAGTGATTAATCACAAAAACAATATGTAATTATATATGTGTTTTCCGATGGTCTTAGGCGACCCCCAAAGGGGTCGCGACCACAGGAAACATTAAAGGAATTAAATCTCTGTTCATTGGTGCTTCCATCAACAGCACAAAGTGGAAGCGGAATAAAATGTTCGTTGGTGCTGCTCTAGTGGTTAAGAGCGAGCTTTGGAATTTGACATACTTGAGTTCAAATCATGGCTGTACTTAACCCCCTTACACATTGAATGATCTTGGGCAAATTACTCAACAACTCAATGCTCAGCTTGATTTTGAAAAACCTATTTGAAAGGGATATTGCCATGCTAAATGATTAAGGCATGCAACTGGGCCATGACAAGTGTTCAATAAGAGGTAGCTATTATTATGGGAGGTTTTGTTGATGGAAGCACCAATGAACAGAGATTTAATTCCTTTAATGTTTCCTGGATCTATTATATTACAATACTGCATATACTCTTCTAAATGGAAAGTTGCCATCTCCTTTGATAAAGTGATGGAAGCTTGGCACCACTCCGTCCTAGATCTCTGAATGGGGTGCTAAGCAGATAGCAGGAATTTGCCCATATTGACAGACATGTCAGATGGATTAAGGAACATTGTCAAGACAGACAATGTCAGAATCAAGTATTAGAGTAAGTTGAAAAGTCATACTGGAATAATGTAAATGTTTGATAGTAGCCATCATGCAGTGGCCAACAAAAGCAACCATGTCATTGAAAAATAGCCCTTGACCTTTGTAATTAGAGAAGAAACTGATCCAAGAGCTTCAATTCCAGGAAGAACATCATGTATTTTCCTATAGGCTTTTAGCACAATGATGCCACTTGTTACTTTATATCCATGTGCCTATGTAGGACTCTTTGCTTTGACACAGAGCCTTGTATATAGTAAGCAGGCCCTCATCCAAACAGGCAAGAAAACAACCAACTAACATTTTATTCTGCTTCCACTTTGTGCCAAACACTGAACTCAGCACTACTGGAAAAGAGATAGGCATGATGCCTGCTGTCCAGAAGGCCATGATCTAGTTGGGGACAGATTAACAAAAACACTTAAAATAGTGTACCACTAAGTGTTGTAAGAGATATAGTGTTTGATGGGGGCAAAAACAGAAATGGAGATGAAGGTTGAATGAACATGTGTCCTTTTCTTATTTAGGTGACATTCTGCAGACTTCGGACTCACCAGTGGTGTTTCATTCTGTTTAATGTTATCCTATTTCATGCCTTGTTTTTTGGGGCTGATTTTGTGGAAGAATACTTTCTGCATGCTTTGCCTTATGTAGATATGAAAGTTCTTGAAATTAAGGATAAGGCAAGAAAATTGAACATGGAGCCCCTAAGAAGTAATCTTTCCAAATATTATATCATGAGCCAGTTGGAGGTGTGTAAAGGGAAGAACATATTTTTGCTCTCTCTTATCTTCAGTAGCCCCGGGAATCGAACAAGACGGGACCTCATCAGAAAAACCTGGGGTAACATGACCAGTGTCCAAGGGCATCCCATTCTCACACTGTTTGCTTTGGGAATGCCTATTATGGCAACTACCCAGCAAGAGATAGACAAAGAGTCCTATAAGAATAACGATATAATCGAAGGAATCTTTTTGGACAGTGCTGAGAACCAAACTCTAAAGATCATCACAATGACGCAGTGGGCTGTGACTTTCTGCCCTAACGCCTTATTCATTCTCAAAGTTGATGAAGATATGTTTGTCAATCCACTAAGCTTGGTAAATTACCTTCTCAACTTGAAAGAACACCTTGAAGATATCTATGTAGGAAGAGTTATCCATCAGGATATGCCCAATAGAGACCCTACTAGTCAAGAATTTGTCCCTCTTATTGAATACCCAGAAAAGTACTACCCAGATTACTGTAGTGGTGAGGCCTTTATTATGTCCCAAGATGTGGCTCGGATGATGTATATAGTTTTCAAAGAAGTACCCATTATGGTGCCTGCTGATGTGTTTGTAGGAATTTGTGCCAAGTTTGTTGGCCTTATACCCATCCACAGTTCAAGGTTTTCTGGGAAAAGACACATCAGATACAACAGATGTTGCTATAAGTTCATCTTCACATCTTCAGAAACTACTGATGCCGAAATGCCCTTGGCATGGAAGGAAATTAATGATGGGAAAGAATGTACACTGTTCGAAACTTACTCTGGACTCATTTCCTGCAAGCTTCTGACATACCTTGACAGCTTTAAACGTTTTCATATTGGTAGCATAAAAAACGCCATGTATTCTGGTGATTAGGATTTCTTTTTCTTATACGTGTGTTCTTTTTAAATTAACCTCCAACCTTGTTACAGAAAGCACCCCTCCTTCTTTGTTTTATGTAGTTTTAATTGTACTCAGAAAGTTGCAAAGTTTTAGTGCCCTGATATACATCATATTGAAATCTCACTTCAAAGAATTTGAGTTGGTGTAGCATGACTCTTTTCCAAATAAAACCTCTCGTCCAGAAAAGTTAGAACATTAAATTTAATTACAACCAAAAGTCTGGTTTCTCTTCACAACTAGTGAATTTTAAAAAAATCATACTTATAAAACTCTCATGACTCAAGTGATAGCAGAGGTGACTAATTTTTGAGAATGATGTTAAAGAAAACGCAAAATAAGGAATTTAACAAATGTTCATCTTGTCTACAAACAGGAAACATTTTAGTAATCTGAGTGGCGGATTATATTCAATTTAAAGTTTTAGCTACTCTGTATATATATTAACTTAAACCTCACTAGTATAAAACTTGGGCCTCTAATATTTCGTGAAAAAGATTTTCATTAAGTACTAATTAGATGATTCATAGATGGGATGTTAACAAATTCATATTTTATGCTATGTATACACTCTGTATTAGTTTCCTAGGGATGCCATAACAAAGTACCACAAATAGGGTGACATGAGACAGCAGAAACTTACTCAAAGTTCTAGAGAAGTCTGAAATCAGGTTGTCAGCAGGGACATGCTCTCTCTGAAGCCTGTAGTGGAGAATCCTTCCTTGTCTCTTCTAGCTTTTGGTGGTTGCCAGCAATCCTTAGCTTACAGATGCATCACTTTAATCTCTGCCTCCATCTTCACATGGCTGTCTCCTGTGTGGCTGTGACCTCATGTATGTGTTGTGTCTGTGTCCAAACTTACCTTTTATTTTAAGGACATTAGTCATTGGATTAGGGCCCATCCTAATGATCTCGTCTTAACTTGATTATTAGGAGTTTGTTTCCCTTTCTCTGACCAACTCAATATTGACTTGATGAATTTGAAAATTTAAAAGCAAAACCCTCAACAATGAGACCCACCAATAAATAAAGACAGTCTGGGGACCTTTCTGAGTTATCATGTTATCATTCCTCCCCCCACAAAACCACAAGAGTAAAATTCATTGATAAATATAAAAAAAGCATTGAAGAATACTAGAAACATTTTTTATAATTTATTTTCAAAGGAAATATAGTAACAACAAAAAAGAAAAAGAAACCTTTTCAAAGTATTTATTCTTATTATAGAGAACATAATTTTGAGATCCCATGTGGCTTGTTTTTCAAAGAATAATTTTATCCAAGACTTTGTAAGTAGAACCAGAAGAGGGGAAAGAAAAAAAAAAGATGGCGAAGAGAAACAATTTAGTTCTATTTTAGTTCAAGCAAATTTTATTTATTTGTTTGTTTATTTATTCTCACTAGAGGAATACGTTTATTGATTTTAGAAAGAGGAAGAGAGAAACATTGATTGGTTGCCTCCCATATGCAACCCAACCAGTGATCAAACCTGCAACCCAGGTATGTGCCCTGTCTGGACTCAAACCTGAAACCTTTTGGTGTACAGGACGACGCTCCAACCAACTGAGCCACCTGGCCAGGGCTAAAGCAAACTTTTAAAAAAGACAGTAAGTCCACAAAAGTTTTCTGGGAGAACAAAACTTCCATCTTCTTGTAAACAGTAAGGCAGTCAAATGAATGTGAAAAATATGTTTCAATTATAACCAAGTTTGTGCTCTCTTGGTTTCACATTGTACTTTATGTAGAAACACAACAAATGCTGGTGATAAAATTAGGTTCAACACACTACGATAATTCTGGGGGGAGAGAAGTCTCTGTTTAGTAAAATACAGAGTCAAATGCCTTAGGAGAAGTTTTGGTCCAAAAATGATTTAGACTCTAGAAGAAATCACTCAGCTCCTTCCACTGCTGTTGTGGAAATAGGTTTCACATAGTATGGACCTTCACTCACATAAGTTCTGAGTCTCAAATAATATGGGTTCCCAAAGATTTCTGCAATTGTCTTGGAATTCGCGAGTGCTTTCACCAGTTCATATTTGGCATCCTTTGAAGCTTTGTCATGCTCTATGGACCGGTCCATCACATACTCTACAAAACCTGGACTGTTAAACATAAGTTTCTGAGCCCAGGGTTGGTTTGCAATGGCCTGAAATGGAAGGCAGAGAGAACACAATTCCTTTGAGGCTTAAGAAATTAAGTTTGTTAGTCGGATGGCACAATCTTTAGAAAAAAATTTGGCAACACGAACCTTAAAAATGTTAATGTTTTGCCCAAGTAAATTCCCTCCTGGGAATCTAATTTAAGAAAATTTAAATGTTAAAAGTCTTTGTATACAAAGATATTCATTATAGCCCTAGCCAGTTTTGCTCAGTGGATAGAGCATTCATCTGCGGACTGAAGGATTCTGGGTTCGATTCAGGTCAAGGGCACATGCCTGGGTTGTGGGCTCGATCCCCAGTAGGGGGCATGCAAGAGGCAGCTGATCAATGATTCTCTTTCATCATTGACATTTCTATCTCTCTCTCCCTCTCCCTTCCTCTCTGAAATCAATAAAAATATATTTTTTAAAAAGATATTCATTACAGTACGACAGTTACAGTATAAATGTCTAATAGTGAGGGGATGGTAAGTAAATTATAGTATACAGAAATACAAAAATGAAATAAACATTAAGAATATTTATTTAAAAATAGATAAATTGGTTATATGGTAAATGCTAGGACTACAAAGATAAATCAGGTATGGTTCCTATTCTCAACAAACTCTGTTTAATAGGTCAATAAATAAACATTTTCAACATAATGTAATAAATAGAACACAGAGGTATAATCCTTACCACAACTCTAATTATATAATGAGCTATACAATTATATTTACTGTCTGGGTCCCTCAACAGACAGTGAGCTACATGAAAGGAAGGTCTTGTATATTTTTCTTAACTATTGTATCCCTAGCACCTAGCAAAAAAACCTCACCAAAAACTCAATCAATATTTGCTGAATGTGCCCGGCTGGCGTGGCTCAGTGATTGAGCGCCAACCTATGGATCAGGAGGTCATGGTTCGATTCCTGGTCAGGGCAAATGCCCAGGTTGCAGGCTCAAACCCTAGCAGGGGCTGTGCCGGAGGCAGCCGACCAATGATTCTCTCATCACTGGTGTTTCTAGCTCTCTCTCCCTCTCCCTTCCCCTTTGAAATAAACAAAAATATATTTTAAAAGTTTTTGCTGAATGAATACATGCAAAATATGAGAGCCAACATTTCTTCACTCAACCTTGTGGAGATACCTGATCAGTCCTTGAAGTATGAATAAGATGTTAACAAGCAAAGTTAGGGAAAAATGTTTAAAGCAGAGGGCACGTGAAGGCCCAGAGATATGAAGCAAGCAGTTTGGTATCACTAGAGCATTAAGTGCCAGAAGGGGAATGGCCATAAATAGGGCTCATGAAGAAGACTGGTTAGGACAATAAGGGCTTACTTGATGGTAGATAAGGAATCTGGAATTAATTCTGTGAACCCATAGTACTCTGTGCTCTGCCACAGCATCTTGTGTATCCCTGGGACACGGCAGAGTGCCTGGCTCTGAAAGTACTCATGTGTTGAACAGAGTCCCAGAAGAACCTGGGGAAAAGAAGGGGTTGCCTACCGTGAACACTTTTAAGGCACCACAGTGTAGTTCAGGAAAGGGTTGATTACTGATGCCACGGAAGAGCTCCAGCGGGTCCCGATATAAAGAAGAGAACCAGGATTCTGTCATCCTCAGGAGGTCATCAGTCTGCTGCTCAGGCTACAGGACGGAAAAGAAAAATCGCAAGACATCTGGAAGTCAGGAAACACAGCACTCTGTCATTAACTTGCTGTGTGATCTCTGCCAAGTGTGGAGCACCTTCCCCCAAACCCAGCCCATATTTTATCAGGTTTTTTGTTTGTTTTTTAATGAGGTTGATTAAGCAATATCTAGGGGCTGGTCCAGTTCCAATATTCTATGATTCCACTTTAACTTAAAAAATGTCACTAGTCATATAATGAGGGCTATACTCTTTTACTAAGAGTAAGAAAGATGGCATTTATCTGATCAACATTTATATTAAATTAACCAGTATTATGTTAACTCATACAGATTTATTCTCCCAAGTACATCCCACTATGTTTCATTAACTTCCCACTCTACTTACTGGTAAATAAAGAATAGATGAAACTGCATCCAAACACCTAATTTTGAGCTCTGTTGAGGCATTCTTTGCTTGATATCCTATTCTCTTCAGTAAGCGTTCAAATCGAGTTCCTTTGAAGGATAATGAGATAGTTTTGATTGTCACAAAATACAAATAACATGAAACTTACCATTTTAACCATTTTTAAGCATATAGCTCAGTGGCATTAAGTACATTCACATTGTTACGCATCCATCACCACCATCCATCTCCAGGACTTTCATTATTTCAAACTAAAAGTTGTACTCATTAAATAATAACTCCCCATTCCCCAATGTCCCCACTCCCTGGTGACCACAATACTACTTTCTGTGTATTTGACAACTTTAGGTACTGTATAAGTGTAATTATACAGTATGTATCCTTTTGTGTCTGGCTTATTTCACTCAGCATGTCTTCAAGGTTTTTCCTTGTAGCATGTATGAGAATTTCATTCATTCTTAAGGCCGATTAACATTCCATTGTATGTATATACCACATTTTATTTATCCTTTCATCCATCAACGAACATGAGTAATTTCTACTTTTTGGCTATTGTGAACAATAGCTATTAATGAACACAGGTGTACAAATATCTATTTGAGTCTGTTTTCAATTATTTTGGTTATATACATAGAAGTTGAATTGCTGGATCATATGGTAATTCTATGTTTAATTTTTTGAGGAACCACTAGTTTTCCACAATGGCCATACCATTTACATTCCCACCACATATATACAAGGGTAAAATACAAGTAACATAAAATTTTCACATACTTGTCAAC